GAGGCAGAGTTTTTTTTCCCACCCTGCATCTGTACAAGTATCTGCTGCTCATTAAGAATGAGACAGATGGAGAAGGTGCAGTTTATTTTACTGCCCTGACTCCCTCAAGGCAATTAGGCTTATTGGAAGAAAAGCACCCTTTTCTTTCTTTCTCTCTTTCAGGTAAAGAGAAAATCAAAGTAGAGAGTTTTAATGTTGCTGAGTGGCCACATCTGTTTCTTGGTCGGCTTGTCAGCCATCTGCCCATGAGATGGTGAGGCTGGTTAGGTTAATGCATTTGCTAATGGGGCTTACAAGACTGCTCAGTGAATCTGGCATTTCCTTCACTAGGTGCTTTGTGATATATTAAAGTAAGAACCACACTGCATGAAGTGGCCAGGTAAGCAGACCCCACACTTCTCTCCAGAAGGAAGAGACCAGAGTACCGTGGGGGGGGGGGCTTCATGGCAACTGCTCTGCCAGGTGAGGATGGTTCACCCAGCTAGCCTCCAATCACTGCCCTGTGGTGGAAATCATCTTAAGAACATTCTGTGGAGGTGTCTGTTCTATTCCTGGGTCCTAAGGCTACGTCTGTACTTCACATCTCTAAAACAGCCCAGAGCACCATGGAAGGATCTGGTCAGACACATCAGCAGGCATGGATGAGAAAATCTTGCCTGTGGGACATTAGATGATAATGGTATAATTTTGCTTTCTTTTCTGTACCACCTGGATGTTTCCATTTCCCAAAGCTACCATGCTCTTTCCCATCATAAGGTTTTGCGAAATTCTGCTGTGTATCAATTATAAAGTGATTATAACAGTACAGATGGTTCCAATACCTAGTGGCTCAGTGTAGCCAGCATTCATTGGGATCATGGTTCGGAGCTACTTTTAGCCTGGTGGGATGCCCTGGGTAGGGCTTCCTCAGGCTGGCGCTAGCTACCTTGTTCAGGAGGATGGTAGCACTAGCTCTCTAGTCACTGGAGGCTGTCAGCTGTATTGAATGTGAGTAGTGGTTCTGTGGGTTTCTTATCCTCCAAGGATAAGAAGCCAGGCTTCACATAGAAGGGGGTTCAAGCGGCTGCTCCCAGAGGCTGCTACAGTCTAGTCAAAGCAGGCAACAAAAGCAGGACCAATTCAAGGTGTGCAGAAATAAACTTTGCCTCCTGATGGAGAAAGCTTCAGAGGACAATGAAGATTCCCTCATTTGGCCAGCTTAAAGATTTCTACATGGAAGCCTGCCCTGACCACTACTCATCTCCTATATATTCTCTAATGGAGTAACTGGGCCCTCAGCCAACAAGGCAGGAAGGACGAAGGAAAGAAGCCTCAAAGGAAACAGATTGGTTTTGATAGATGCCTACTTTATGCCTAGTAGGCTGCCTGGTACATAATAAGTACTCAATAAGCCAGGCATGGTGGCACACACCTGTAATCCCAGCACTCTGAGAGACAGCGGCAGGCAGATCTCTGTGAGTTGAAAGCCAGCTTGGTCTACAAAGTGACAAAGATAGCCAAGGTTACACAGAGAAACCCTGTCTTGAAAACGAACAAACAAATAAGTACTCAATAAATATATGTTGATTGTAATTCTGTGCTGTATCAGTAAGGCAGGAAGTAAGTAAAATATATGTACAAGCAGTTATATTGTGCTCTGGGAATTACTGTATGTAGTATATGTATCCCATATGCATTATTATTCATAATAACTCTGACTGTATTTAATGCTATCCTCATTCTAGCCTAAGGAGACAAGCATAAGGTGTTACCTGGCATCCCACAGTGCCAGGTTTTAAAGTCCATATACTTTTTGATCTACACTTCCCAAGGTGCTCCCAGGATTAGGTTCATCAGTGGACTTGGGGAGGGGCATGCATACAGAAACAGGAGGGAGGGTGGGATCGGGAGGGGAGAAGGGAGGGGCATATGGGGGGATACAAAATGAATAAAGTGTAATTAATAAAAAATAAAAAAAGTTAAAAAAAAAGATTGGGCATGGAGGAAGCTGTGAGAACCTACCCTTCTTCACTGACATCTCAAGAGTCAGGTGCTCTCATGTTTAATTTTCTTTAGAATTTTCCGAGAAGGCACTGCCTCCTTCATACTTACTTTTCTTCTCTTGTCAAATTGGGAACCTTTGAGCCATGTTCTGAACAGACCTTGCTTAGTCTAATGTCTGAGAAGTAGGAGTATGAAATGAGTGTGCTAGGTCATGACCAGGTACATAATGAAGACAAGTGAGATTTTCAGTAAGAGATGACTGGGAGGCAAGTAGAAAGGAATTTCTCCATCATACTCTTGACCAGATGTGCTGCACTGTGCTTTATGATATTTTACTTGTATATTACCACTGAATATTTAAATGTCCAATATTTGCTAAAAACCAAACTGCACATTGTTGTGGAAGGGCAGATGAAACACAAACGTGGCCTTGTCTTCTTGGGGTTCTAATGAGTAAGATAAACAACAACGAATAAAGTGTTGAACAGCTGTAGAGTGGGAGCAGTGAGAAACACCTCTGAGAAGAACAGATTATGGAGGGATCCTGCCCACTGACAGTGCCTAGAGAGGTCTCTCAAGTGGGAGGTAGTCAAGGATACTAGTAGTGAGTTGGGAAGCCATTGCATCCCCCCTTTTTAATATAAACTATGTGTACCACTATGATGGATGCCAAAGTGCTCCCGGGGTTCTCAAGCCTGGCTGTGAGTTAAGATTGGTGGCCTGGACTTAAAGACAAACAGTGTCTGGGCTGACCTTTCAGGTATTCTTATTAAGCATGTTTAGAGACAGTTCTGGGTGCTGAGTACCTGTTTCCTTAATGCCATGTAGTTGCTTTTATTTTCAGGATTTAGCTACTAGTTGTAGGGTCATTTCGTGTGCTTGGATTTGATAGTCTCCTAATTTGTATGGTAGCAGCCATGTACAGAAGTCGTAATCCCCATCTTTTCTACTTTTATGTAGGAGAGATCAAATGATAAAAGAACACAGAGCTGTGGTGACTGAACTTCTGTGACACACACCTGTAATGCTATGTTAGCAGCATAGTAAATGAACCAACAAGTACTTCTGATTGGCAGTGAGATACAGTTCCAAAACCATATCGCCAAGAAATGAATCTAAAATTATAAAGAATCTGAATAAAGAAAAATAAATAAGGCTCCACCTCTAGATGGACTACAAACAATGGCTCTTGAGAAAGGGAGGATAGGTCTCCAGGAGAGCCCCTTAAAGGTTATCCATCAAGTCCCACATGGTCAGTCCCAATGCATATACATATGAGCAACCCTAAGGGAACTCCTCAGATTGTGTGTATGTCACACATGCATGACAATAACAATTGAAGAAAAAGGAATTTGAAGGAGTTAAAGGGAATATGGAAAGAGTTGGGATGGGGAGAGGGAAGAGTGGGAATGAAATAAATACAGCACCCATTTAAGAAATTCTCTAAAATAAAGGAAAAAGAGAAACTGAAGGAAGGAGGAGGGGAGAAAGGACAAGATCATTCAGTGAAGGATGGATGTGGTCAAACAATGAAATTTGGTTCAAATCTTAATATTTGGTAAAAATCAAGAACCTTAACCATATTTATCCTCTGTGAAGAGTCATTCTACCTTGGGTAGTCCAGACCAGGGGTCATCCAACTTCTCGTAAAGGGTTGAGAAGCCTATATTCAGGTTTTATAGTGACTGTCTGCCATGGCAACAGCAGCCAAGGGCAGTAGGTAAATGAATGGGCGTGCCTTTGTTTTCAAGGAAATATTATTTATAACAACAAATGGTCACTAACTTCAGCGGTTCTCAGGGGGCACTGTTTGCTAATTTGTGGTGCAGATTAAAAATATGTTTTAAAATTAATCTTAATTCACAAAATCTGAGTAAAAAGATTATCATTTCTATTTTATAAAAGCAGAAAATTAGCATAGCTTAACTTTTCATCAGTAAGGCGTTGGTTAATTGTGATAGTTGATGAAATATTACATAGTCATAGAGATGTTGCTTGTTAGTTATAGCAAGCTAGGGGATGCTCCCTGGACTACTGCAGGAGGAAGGAAGCTGTTTACATAGTAGTGGTGGCTAAGATAGAAACACAGAGTGCTCAGTACACAGCAGATCACTTAGCCTTGCACATGACACCATGAAACACACTTTTTTGTTTTGAGTATTTTCCTTATGCAGAAGTGGGTAGTGGTAGAACTTAAGACAGTCAAAGTTACACTTCTAGCTGTTTGCAGAACTGGGATTTTTAGCATAATACTACTGAATGCTTAAAGCAAAAACAAAAGCAATCATACAGACTAGTAAAAATCCAGGAAATCCAGGTAGGGAAATGGCTCAGTTGCTTAAGTGTTTTATGTACAAGCTGGGGCACCTGACTTTGAGCCCTAGAAACCACATAAAATAGTAAGTATAGTGCATACTCCTATACTCTGAGTGCTGGTGATACAGAGCCAGGAGAATCGCCAAGCTTTTGTGGATGGCCATCTGGCAGAATCTGTGAGTTCTGGTGAAAGTGAGAGATCCTGCCTCAAAGAACAAGATGGAGAGCAATTGAGAAAAACATCTGAAGCTGATGTCTGCCTTCATATGTTTCCAACAATAGACATACAATCTAGAAGAGGCTAGATGGAAACACATCCACCTTTTGACACGGCTGTTCTTGAGTGGTAGAGTGTTCTCTCTAGTGAGGATTATTATTTTAGTAATGAAGAAACAACACTTGAGTGTTAGAAAATCCAAGAGCAAGTGGTGTGGAACTGTGATGGGAGAAGTGGTTAATTGGGGTGGTCTAGACATGTTTAATCGGTTATCCCTTTAAACCTCTTGTTCCCGGTCTGGACTGTGGAAAGGGCATGGTGCCACGCTTGCCTGTGTCTTGTTTCAGGTGGAGTCCTGATTGTGTCTGTTTGGATTGTCAGCCCATGTTTGCAGTATTCTCAAATTGACCTGCCTAACCCCTAACTCTTTCTTTTCTCTCCCTTGTTTTTGCTCTCTTCTCTATCCACCAATCCCACTGTGCAGCTGACAAGGTTAGTGACGACTTCTACACCAAGCGAAGGCATCTGGCGGAGCTGGCTGCCAAGGGCAATCTCCCTTTGCACCCTGTAAGAGTGGAAGATGAGCCCCGGGCCTTCAGCCCAGAGCATGGGCCTACCCAGCAGAATGGACAGAAGTCTCGCACCAACAAGATGCCCCCTCATCCCCTGGCCTACAACTCTACCGCCAACTTTAAGACCTGGGACCCCAGTGACCAGTCTCTGCGGCGGCAGGCTTATGGCAACAAGGGCAAGCTTGGCATAGCAGAATCGGGCTCTTGCGACCCCTTGGGGACTCGCACCCAGCACTTCCCACCCACACAGCCATACTTCATCACTAACAGCAAAACAGAAGTGACTGTCTGAGCTTTCACTTCAGGTAGTACCTGGAGACCATACTCAACTGAGAGAGGCAAAAAATACCATCCCATCTGTACTTTCTTGGCCCTGTCCAACCCCCAGCAGATACACACACTCTGTTCTACAGGAACCAACCACAGACATACTTGTGATATGGAATCATGCTTTTCCTGGGTCATGCCTAATATGCTCCCACAGGCAGCTGAGCAAATGAAGCATGGACATTCAGCAATACAGCAGAGGGAAACTTTCAGCTTCAGGCCCAAATTGTGGGGGCTCATTTTCCTTTTCTCCCTAACCGGAAACTGAAATCCATTATAACAAATATATATAAGTAGCACAATTTAGACAAACTGCCCATGGAGAGTACTCTGTACCCTATGTTATGTCTTTCCAAATAAATGGAAGAGGGTGGGAACACAGGCAGGGGTGGCTGCAGGGTGCTTGGGAAGAAATTTGCTCATGTCACAAGCATTTCCTAATCCCAAAAAGTGATGCTGACAAAAAATAGTGATGAGTGTGAGGCAGTAGTGGACCTGAAGCAGTACACTGATGAAACATTGCATACCATCAAAGCTGAAAGCAAAGCAAAAAAAAAAAAAAATAAAAATAAAAAAATCACAAAGTAAATATTCTCTAAGACCACCATCAGTGATGGGAAGGAAAGAACATTCTAGAGAACTCCCTGAAAAACCACGATGTTGGGAGGGATGGGCTTTTATAATGGCCAGAGGGTCCAGAGAATAATAAAAAAAATGAACTTTTAAATTTTTAAACACATCAAGTGAACAGTATATTAATTTTGTCCAGGGCTTAGGAAATCTGCAGATGGAGAGTTAACAGGAGGTGAGATGGGGACTGAGAAGCCTCCACTTCCTGGTCATCTCCAAGACCTGGAACAATGACAAAAATGTTCTCTATGAACTGTCTGTCCCCAGCGTCCTTTCCTCTTCAGCGTCTTGCTGCCGCTGCTGCCAAACTTCAGCTGCTTTGGAGTGAAAATCTCATAAGCGTGGGTGGTGCCTTCAGTGTTGCCGTTGTTCAAGTGATGGTCTTGTTTCCCAAGTGCATACTCTTGTTCTTTAGCCTCTCTCCCTCCTGTTTCTTCTGCAGTAGCGATGTTCCATCTTTCCTTTGTAGGTGAGCCCAGGCAATTAACACCCTTCGAAGGGGCTGCTACAATGTCAGGGGTACCTAAGAACACTCTCAGATTTCCCTCCCGCCAGATTACCTTCGGAGGTATTCTGTACCATCCTTTCTTACCTGGACTCTTCCAAAGTTGCTCTATAGATTGGTTCCTACAGCCAACAGCCATTGGGTCCCAACAAGGAAAGGTCCTACTAAAAGTTCTTCCTTTAGTGGAAGAACAGACAGGTGCATGGAGAGGAGGGATTTTGTTTAAAGAAGAAAGTCTTTGACTAGCCCTTGAAGCTCTTAGCTAATCCACAGGAACCTTCTAAAAACTCATAGATTTCTTTGGTAAAAATCCGGGTGAAAAAAAGCTGGAGCATTTCATATAATTTTCTGCCTCCTGGGTCTCCCCAACATCACAGCGTCAGCATTCCAGATATTATTCTCCATGTTTCAAGCGACTATGAAGAACCTGGCAATGGATTTAATCTCTCTGGAGCTGTCTCCCATCTGAAGCATGGGAAATTTGGCCTAAGTCAAGCCTTTTCAGTTTTTTAAAGACAGTACTCTGTTCATATTACAGAGGAAATTGGCAACGATTAAACTTTATAAGATTCCCATATAAGAAAAGGTGCAGAGAAACACAATACAGGCGTCAGAGTAAATGTTGAGACCACAGCACTCCCATAGGGTAGTGCAAACTACTGGCATGCACATCTCACTTTGACATGAGTTAGCTATCCCCTAGCAACACATTAACATCCCAGGATTACCATGACACTGAATCCATTCACAGTGAATCCATCTAAATGGATTCACTTTTAATCCATCTTATTTAAAAAGGGAAACATCCGGTCCTCATCACATACAGAACACCAGCGTCCATTGCCATGAATAGACAGTAAGCATCAAGGAAAACATAAAGGCCTCAAAGACAAAACTCTAGTGAAGGTCTAGCCTGTTCTCTTCTTTCCCTTAAAGACATTACTGTAGTTAAAGATACTGGTACCCAAGAGGGTTTCTCCTCGGAATAATTAGCAAAGGAGAAAGCAGATGTTAAAAAACAAAACAAAACATTGTGTCCCATGTCCATAAGCTACCTCCACAATGTACAATTTGAACGTACTAGTGCCATACAGCCGTACTTCAAGAAATACTGGGTTGATTTACTTGAGAGATTCTTTCCAGGTCAAGTTCTGCAACCCTTTTCCTCCTTCTAGATCATATTTTTCCTCCATTCCCTTCATCTCCTCATTATGTAACTCCAATTTAAAGGTCTTTCTTGATTCCTAGTCTATATTATCCTATTTCTTACTCATTCTTTTTTTTTTTTTTTTTTAAGTAAACATCTTCCAGTGAGCTTGGCTCCTTGGTCTGCAAGTGTAATTTTGACTTCGAAAATACAGTTCAACGACCAACATGTACATATACTTCCCAGGCGTGGGCAGCTCACACAGTGCTTGTCTTATTACTTCCTATATGACTTTGAGAGATGAACTGAAGGGGACAATCAGTAGGGAAGGTCTGTTTAGTCTTTGGCTTCCTCTTGGAAAGGTAGATAAACCTTATGATACTGAAAAAAAACATGAGCGATAGAATAATTGATGGCTGTCATGTAGCAAGGCTCCTGTAACCAGTGTAGGGAGAAATAAAAGAGAAAAATAAGATTATAATATTGTTCTTGCCTCTTTCTATGTGACCGCCAATTTCTAACCCCATGGGACCAGAACATGGCTTCCTTCACCTTTCTGGAGTGTCTCAGCCTCCATCTGCCTTGGGCTCTGCCTGGAATTCCCATCTAACTTCCCCCAGTTTTTTTGTGTGTAAATGGAGCATATTTTATGTGCAAATATTTTAGTAACCGTATGTTCTGCAAGTAAACCTGTGTTAACACTTGTCACACTGCAGAGTTTATGATACAATAACACTTCCTACAATGAAGAAAAAAAAACCATTTGTTTGTTTTCTAAGAATGTTTATTTGTAAACATATGTATTCACTATATTAATATGAATTTCTTACCTGGCAATAAACTGATTATATGTGATGCTGTAGGTGTCTTCTCATCCTTCTTAAGCTCTCAGAGTTTCTGCTAGGAATGTATTATAGCCACTCAGCACTGAGTGTCGAGGCTCACATATTGATCCTCTCAGGGAGTGGAAGCTCATAATTGTCAGCAATTTACACAAGATATACAGGTTTATTGTTTAGTCTTTTCCTAAGTATGCAGATGTCAAAGTTAACTGTGTCCTTACATATGGCATTGCTGGGTCTCTTCAGTGTCACTAACCTCGTGTTAATGGCAAAGAACCTGGCTGAGCTTCAGACATGTGCTTCTTCCAGGAACCAGGGTTGCAGTGGGCACAATCACTGACAAAGTGGAATAAGTTCTCCCCCTATTTATTAAACTGAATTTCCTGGCTGGCTTCTGTCAGCATCAAGCAGAAGCCTGTTAGAAAATTGCTCTTCTCTGAAAGAGGCTGAAAGTGTGAAACACTGAGTGTAAGAAATTCCCTTGTTCAGTGACGGTGGCAAGATGGCCCATCAGGTAAAGGAGCTTGCAGCCAAGCTTATCACCTGCCTTTGATCCCTGGAACCCAGATGGTAGAAGGAGAGAACTAACTCATGCAAGCTGTTTTCTGATGTCCTCAAATACTTTATGGTATGTATGCAATTCTCCAAATAAATAAATATAACAAAATTGAAAAATAAAGATAGGATCTTGGGAGGGAATGGAGACTATGACAGGGAAACTAGCCAACAGGGGACTTTATCATGTTGGCTGTTATCATAGATGGTTGAGGCTTAAAACTGTAGGTAATTTTTTTCACTTTTATTGGTTTTATTTTGATTTTTAAAAATCAGCATATGATGTATTAGATACTATTATGACATTTGGGGACAAAGTGTGTTTTTTTGTGGTTCTCTTAACCCTGTCTCCTTGGCCAATTCTTGCAGTTCCCAGCCTCACACATATTTTCTTGTTTGTCCTGTGTGTTGGACCCCAGCCTTCCTCATCACCCACTATTACCCTCATACACGAGTACATTGCAGGCCATCATCCCATATGCAAGGAACACGCAGTTTTTCTCTTTATTTGTTTCTCGCCTTGTTTAATGGTATACTCTTGAGATAGATGTGTTTTCCTACAAATTCATGATTTTATATTTATTTACAGCTTAATAATATTCCATCAATTTTATGTCACACATTTTTATTATCAATTTATTTTTAACGAGTACCTTAGGTTGGTTCCATTTCCTTGCTCTTATGAATATAAACTCTGAGAAGGTATTGCCAGGTGTGTTTCAAAACCAGCACTCAGGAGGTAGAGGGGACATATTTGTGTGAGTTGAGGCCAGCCTGGTCTACATAGTGAGTTCTCGGTCAGACGAGACCTGATAGTGAGTCCCTGTCTCAAAAGGAAAAAAACGTGTTAAGCACATACTCTCACAATTGCCCTGTCCAAGTCTGATATGCATCGTTCATGAGCTGATTCAAGGGACTTCCCATTATGAAATATTCTTAGGTTGGCAAGTACAAGAACATTTTCAGTTCAAGAGAAAGCCATAGGCCCACAGACGCACCAATTGGCAACCAGAAGTCAGCTGTTGTGCACTGGCTGCATCTTCTGCAAAGATGCCAGAGCTGGAGCAGAAAAGCACAGTGGCTGCTCACAGCCAGAGGCTTAAGGTTCTCCAGGAATGCCACTTCCAGGCTGGAGGTGTTGAGAAAGGCTTTCCATGTCAAGCAATGGGGAATGCAGCAGTCAGAGTCAGGGGCTGTACTCCTTATTTGAAGATCCCTTTGTTGGCCAGAGCAGCTCTGGTCGATTCTCTGGAATATAGCCTGGCAGTCAGGGCTGTGTGGAAGAAAAGAGCGCGCTTCAGGTACTTGAGCATGTACACCAATCAGGACACAATGGAGTCCCACTGGTGGAGTCCCAGTACAGAGAAGTATGCCTTTGCAGGGAGAGGCATACTTCTGTGCTAATTAAGCCACCTGAATTAAGTCACAACTCATAAACAACAAGCAAGCATGCATGCCATCTTTACTAAACAGATACTAGCAAATGGTGTCTTGGCACATTTATTCCTAACAAGTTTTGCTTCAGAGCTTTAGGTTTGAGATGTATCTAAAACTAAAGCCATTCAAATCAGTTCACCTAGTAAGTGGGATCTGAGCTTGAAAGCTCGTTGTTACTTGCTTTGCCAACAGCTCTCACCTGCATGAACATGTGAGGGAGCTGGAGAAACTCACTGCTCCTAGGCTCCCCAGCAGAGGGTGGATGAAGTGAGTGTGAGTAAGGGCAGCCAGTGCTTAGAACAAGCTCCCTACCATCTCAAAGCAGCTTTCTGGGGTGGGACTTGCAACTCTTTCTAAGACTTGAGGATTTAGGGAAAATGGGATGGAGCTATGTTCATTCAAGGAGAGAGAGCCTGTGCGGGTACATCCTTTGACCCGATGTCCAGTGCTGGAAGGTCCTGTCCTGTAATAAAGAGACCTGGTGGGCAATGCTATTGATTGTAACCCCCTTTCATTATGTCTCCAGGCCAGGGAAGCAGCTTTCTTTGTGATTTTCTTAGAAAGCTTGGGTTCATCTTCAATCCTGCTTTCTCATCTTGCTGAGTCCTCTTCCCTCAATTCACTATGACAGTGGTTAGTGAGTATAGCCAATGGGTTGAAGCCCTTATCAATTTGATTTTCTTCCTGCAACTCCAACATGCTGCTCATGCCCTCGTAATCCCCACAGTGTTCTGAGTACACTCAGTTACTTGGTTACCAGCCAGCCACGGAGGTGAACAGAGCCTCCTCCCTGCCTCTTCTTCCTCCCCTCCCATCTTCCTTCAGTTCCTGGTTTTAAACTCAGTTCTACATTTGTTTTCCAAGTACTAGAATCTCAGGTGTGTACCACAGGTCTGACCGAAGACCTAACTTTTGGTGCTTTTGGTGCCTTGGGGTATTTGGAAAAGCCTGTAGATTCCTTGCTCAAAGCATGTTTTCCAAAACATAAAAGGTAGAATTCAAAAGCTCATTATCTTATAATATAGTTATGAAAATATGTTAAACTTCCACATTCTGTGATGTAGAAATATATGCACTTTTAGTGAATGTGCTAAAGCAGAAAGCCCCTGTGGACAGTTTCTAAGTCATGAAAACACAATCTTTTTTTTAAAATGTTTATTTCATGTGTATGAGTGTATTGTCTGCATGTATACTCCAAGTGTGTGCCTAGTATACACAAAGGCCAAATAAAAATACAAAATAAAATTACAAAGCTAATTAAAAATCAATTAAAAATACAAAATAAAAGAAAAATGTAATTGTATTAAAAGTCCTCATTTCTCCCCAGAATGAGGTCGGCTAGATGCTGTAAGAGATAACAAAATATATTCCCTGTTTTTCATTCTTCTTGAGAAGATGTAGGTGTCTGATCTCAGAAATGTTGTGTAAGTTCTGTTCAATATAGTGCTTAGAAGACCCCAATTATATTTCTGTCACAGAAATGGAAAGACTGTTTGTGAAACCCATATCAGTAATACTCCAAGCAACACTGTAGCCTTCCTTACAGATTCAGCTTCTGCCAGGATCTTAATATTAAAAGCAAAAGTAGTGCTTACCACCAATTGAATATTTATCTTCTAACAGGCTATGGATTAGGCATTATGCATGCATTGCTTCATTTCATCTTGACAGAGATACAAACGAGATTTACACCCATGTTCAAGATGGAGAAAATTAAGTCCCACTGAAGTCAAATGACTCATTTATGACCACCCATTTGGTGAGGATCAGGCTTGGAAGTCAAAACTGGGCTAAGTCTGATTCCAAAGCAATTCTATTGCCAAGGCCAATTTAATTCTTGCATCATTCTTACCTATGCTTGCTTCCTCTTCTGTACAACTATAAGTAGATCAAGACAGCTGTGAAGAAACTGTTCAGAGAAGAGAGTAATCCTCTAGGACAAGGCTATATTCACAGATTGGTGTCTCCTCTTCTGTTGTCACTGATATGGAGGCACTGAATGACCATTGTCCATTTGTGTTTCTAGTTATCTTATTCATGTCCATTCTCCATATTTCACAGATGGCCAACAAAAAGAGCCAGTGTTTACAATTCCTGAGTGTCTTGGTGGGGAAGGAAAGCAAGACAAGAGGAGGATTCTGGGACAAATAGGAAACTGAGAATCTTAAGTTTCTTTCAGATTCAGCCTCAAGCTCATGGCCATGTACCATGCTGGTTCATTAAAATTTTATATCCCTCAGGGTGTCTGGAAGGAAGACATCCAAGTGCCTGTCCTGGTCCCACCATCCTGGGGCAGCTGGAAGAAAAATAGCTACTGCAGGCAACCCTATGATGGATGAGTGATGGAGAGATGAGAAAGATGGAGCACTGGTGTAGAGACAGAAGAGGAAGCAAAACCAAGAGGTTTCTACACTGTGGAGAAAGGTGGAAGTGGAGACTTGACAACAGGGAGGAGCAGGCAGATATGAGGAGGCCATGGTGAGGTCCTGGCCTGGGCTCCCACCAAGGGCCATGTCTGTTATCCACGGTGCTGCTGCAGCTGGGGTCTGTGTTGATGGCTGTCCCACCAAAGGCCAAGTGGATTTTTGTGGTCTGGGCTGCCACTGAAAACCTTATGGATATCTGAGGGCCCTGTTGCTGAGGAGGACATGTTGATATGAATGTCCTGCACTGCCACCTGAGGTGATGGGGACATCCAGACCCAATCTGCTGCTTGGGGTTAGGGATCATGTCTTCGTCCATAGTCCTATGGCAGCTGAAGTTTGTGTTGATGTCTCAAGCCCATGTCAAAGGCCATGCAAATGTCTCTGGTCAGAACGGCTTCCTGAGGCACCGTGTAAACTGGCCTTGCCCCTCATCTACCACCACACTTGGGAGAACTGACCCTGTCCCTCATCTGAGTCACACAATAGAGCTGACCCTGATGGCGAAGGAGCAGGGGAGCTGGCTTGAAGGCATGAGCATGGGAGAGCAGGGCCCACCCAGAGTCTGCTGTGGGTGGCTTCTTCCCCCTA